TCTATTACTTTTTCTGAGGCAACGATGAAAGTAACGACGTTACTTTTGTCGTTACTTTTCAGTTCTTTGTGAATAATATATCATTGAACGAGTATCATCTAACTATTCCTTGCACTTTCCAAATTGTCTGTTTCGACATTTCGAGTGTCCGTTGGCCTTGCACAAACTTGAGAATACCTTCTTTCTCACGGGTCACTTCAGCCACGTGTAGATTTGATGAAAAAAAAGAAAGAATAATTTCGTTTTCTTTACGCTCTTGCTTGTACTTTGTGACTGAACACTTACATCTTAGTATCTTGATGCACTATCCCTGTTGCAGTTTTTCTTTTTCTGCCCACGCTTTTTAATCGGGTGAATCAACTGTGAAACAATAATACACGTGGAGGGCACTTATAATGTTTCGTATTTTGATTAGCACCACTACTCCGCACTGTGCATGTTTCGTATTTTGATTTGCGCCACTACTCCGACGTGGTTTCAACGGTGGAGGCAAAATTTCCTGCTGTTTGCGCAGGGCTTGTTTCTGGTTTGCCGGGTACGAACTGAAATATATCAAAGGAGTCCATAAACCCAGCGCAACCGTCAACGAGCCAGCAATGTGCTAGTGCTACTAAGGATAGGGATGTTAATGAGAACAAAGAACTAGCATGGCCAACGTACAGAGAGTTTTTTTTTTTTTTTTTTTTTTTTTTGGTGAAGGTGGTTGCTAACTATTTGACCGCAGTACGCAAATTTTGCAACAAGCAGTACTTCGAGTCTTCCTGTTCAAATCTGAGAAAACACATCCAGTTGAATTTTGGACTTTATTTTTTTCATAATATTGACTAATTTTCCAGCTAAATTATTAAGTTTGAGTTTACCACTATGGTGGAAGCCCGACTGATTCGTGTCTATATTTTTTTCTTTCAAACACTAGTTTTTTCTTAATTTTTGTGTTATAGAAAAGTAACTGAAAAGTAACGTCGTTACTTTGTGAAAGTAACTGTAACTGTAACGAGTTACTCTTTTGTTGCGGTAACTGTAACGGTAACTTCACTACTTTTTTCTGAAAGTAACTGTTACTGTAACGAATTACTTTTTAAAAGTAACTTACCCATGACTGCTCTTATATAAGCCCCGGCCTTGTACCTGGTCCACGAGTGGTAACTTTGCGCACTACGCTTCTCACGCTCTCAAAGTCTTTCTAAAAATTACTTATCTAGTGGTTTTCTATGACGCTCAGCAATTTGCTAATTGTAACCGTATGTCTATTTTCACTAAATAAAAAGTTAAGTAGTCATTTCTAATTAAATATGAAAGTAATTGGTAAGTATCGCCCATTCTCTGACGTCAGCCAACTTGAGTAATGCGGTCCCGAGAAATTTATCTTTTTATCTCAAATAAAGTAATTTTAGGAATATTTGTCACTCTTACGTGAAACACATATTCGCGAGAAATGTGGTTAACTCAAAATGTTAATCATGAATGTTTGGTTATCTAGCTTAGTGGAGCCTCCAATTCCCATCCCCTTTATGCTGTTTTCCTTCTATGCCTCTAGCGTTGCCAGCACACTCCAGCTGGTCGACCCAAGAATGCCCTTGTGTAATTTTCTAGAGTTTTATCTCATATCTGTCTGTGGCAGCTAGGGTAAGATTGCAGTATGTATGCTCCTCTAGTCCGCGTCGGCTGTCTTCCGTCGTGCTTTGACTGCGTATTAACGAGGCTCCGAAATGCCGTCGAAGGCATTTCGGAGCCTCGTTAGTACCCATAGCTAGACTTTTTGTGCTTGTTTTAGGTTTGTCAGCGTGCGGGTTTACCTGGCTGATTTGTCCAAAATAAATGAAGCCTATGAGTTGTAATGAAGTGCTTGGATGATGCAACACCGGCCATTCGTGGATCAAAAGCGCCACCTTGAGCCCGCTTCTGACTGCCTTTGAGACCAGAAAGTCAGTATGGTGGTTCAAAAGATTTGTCAATAGTTGGGTAAGGAAAGGATTCGTCTTAACTCCAAAGTTCCTGTCTCAATAATTTTCGCTCGTCTTACATCGTTCGGCGTTTCGATCTAGAACCTTCATTCACAGAAGAATTTTTGTGCCGTCCAAGCAGTTTCCCATTACCTCTCCTCTCCTTGCCTCCAAAGATTGAAAGTGTACGAGACCTTATTCGCTGCTCTTAAACGGAAGTGGGATGCGCGTGGGTGAATTATTGTGATTTCTTAGTCTGTTTGAAAGAAATAAAGCAAGCTGAAATTACGAAATAAAGAATATATTTTGGTTTGTTCTAAATAAGGACAAAGTATATTTATTTTATTTTTTATAAAAGCTATATATTTTAACTATGGTCAGTACAATTGGATGCATACTTTTTACAGGAATATATTGGCGCGATTTTGATGAAACACCGTGTATACGCACACTCAGTGTGGATGAAAAGTTAAACCGGATCGTCCTGTAGCAGCCCACCCTCTTACGAGCTCGGAAAAAAATTACATAAAAGAAATCGAACATAGAGAGATGGTATTGGTGTTTTCCAGTGACAGGGGATGAAATTCTGCTGCGAGAGCATTTATTCCAAGCTTTAGGCGTCTTTATATACATCTAGCGGTTGAACGTGTTAGCCGGAAGCCCCCTGGTGCCCAGGTTGGCAACTTGAAATACGGCTCCCGCCAGGGGTTGGCACTCCCGTTGTGTGGCGCTGAGTCCCCTCCAGGCGGATGTGACGTACAACACGTCGTAATTTGGTCCCCCGAAGCAACACGAGGTGGGTCTCGAAACCGGAAACGCTACTTCCCGCAGCAGCTTTCCTGAAAACGGTCGTGTGTTAGCAGCACCCGGCTAAGGTCAACAACCGGAGGTGTTAAAGTTCCGTTTGAATACTACATACAAGAACTCTGAAAAACAAAAGTATAAATCATACAGCGTCTCAGAAAAGTCAAACCGCAAAATTCCACCAGAACCACCTTGCTAACATTGTAAAGTAAATCACAAGAACCAACGATTATATGCAAAAACCTATACAGGCTATACAAAGGTAAACAAAAAACAAGTAATGGCCGAACTTTCGAGGGGAGTGTGTTACCTCCGGCTGGCTATTGTTTTTGCTTGTTTTTGAGAGCCTTCAGTGAGTCCCGCATACTTTAAAAGTCTCACCGCCCAGGACTAACTGCGGTACCTGTTGAAGTTTACTTACACGGGATCGACATCCCTTCCTGTTCTCTTGGGTGAAAAGAGCACTTGTCCTTTAAAGAAATGACAAATCTGACGAGGGTATCGTGGGCGCATCTTCACAACTGCCTTCCATATACCTGAGAACGACTTAAAACCTACAAATCCCTAAATGCGCTCAACTACTTCGTGAACGGTAAGGCAGCGTCGGTGGGCACCTACCTGCCCCAGGCGCCGAAGATACGCGGCGAGCTTCTCCGCAGGGGTCGCCGAGCCCGGTCTTAATTATAGCAGAGAATCTTCCGAAAGAATTTTATTACGCTTCCCTTAGCACGACAACTGTCTGCCATACCCAATTTTCTTGAGTTTTGACTCGCTCGCTTTGGTATTCAAGGTTTCTTTTCCAGATCACCCTGCCCGTTGCATTTGTACGGGCCAGAATGGCCCATCATCGTTGTACGGAGAGGGTCGGTCGAGGCGCCGTGGCGCCGGCACCCTATTCTCGCGTTTCTCGTGTTGCGCCATCTGTCGGCGGCACATCGAAGTGGGCTCATACCGCTTGCCAATGCCGTCGTCCTGCGATCACCCAGGCTCGGCGGAATTGCTCGCTAGTGAGCCAAGAGTCGTCGAGCACCCACCCCAAACACGAGGTAAGCATAAAAGAACCGGAAGTATTTATCCAACCCTGTGATGGCGGCCGCGCATACCCTGCATAGTCACGGACAACTTGAGAAACGCACGGCGTGGCTTCTTGACGCGTTGCTTCGGGATCGGTTTGTTGGTGTTCTTATTGGCTAACGCCGCATTCTCAATTATTACCGACCGATAATAAGATCTTTGTGACTCCACGCACTGTGCTTTTGTTAAGCTGTCAGTGACAATAGTTTGTTTCATAATATATTTTCAATATTTCCTGTGAAAAGGGTCCGCACGTGCCTCATTAGCTTTTTATTACAAATCTGTGCCCCGCAAGTTGTTTTTTTGTTTTTTTACGTGAAACATTTTTTTTTTTTTGTTAGTTATTTCGGATTTTGTGCAGCCGCATTTAGTGAAGCCGTGGCTTGTTACGTCCCATAATGCAACTCGCGCAATGTTTCACAGACCTGCACACCAATTCAGTTTCTCCGCTAAATTTAGCGGGAAAGTTGAACTTGTGTATAGGTCACGTGACCTAGGATGTAACGTGACCTATATATCAATTCAACTTCCCCGCTAAATTTAGCGCAATTACTGAATTGGTGTGTAGCAGCCACGTAGCCAGGATTTTGTTGGGGGGGGGGGGGGGGGGGGGCCGCCCAAGACAAATAGCTGTATGAGGGGAAGGGGGGAGACGAGGTCCCAGCAAAATGGAAGATTTCGGGGCGGGGGGGGGGAGGGGGCCCGAGCCCCATGGGCCCCCCCTTCCCCCCTGGCTACGTGCCTGGTGTGTAGGTTTGTGACGTCCCATAATGCAACACTGCTCGAGTGGCATGATGGGACGTCACTGGTCCCAATTACCTGCCATGCCTGTACTGTAGCCATTGCACAAAACAAGTTCGACCTGCGCTTGAGACGTTTCATCCCGTTTCTTCTTATGGCATCAGTAACTTCCTTTAGAAATTTAATCAATGATTACATCGTTAACTAGCTTAAAGGTTTGCGGGCCACCTCAACGCGTGTTATATATAATTACGTTCTACCTAGGAAAAAAGGCAGTGATAGATTGGTTATTCAATTAAAACAAAAATCTACTGCGCGATCGTTTGGCTCCGATGCAAAAGAATCGTAAGAAAATCTATAATAAGACTATGAAACAAAACTAAACGTATGTTTAAGTGAATATATTGACAAACTTTGAAATATATTATGCTATCTCACCTGTCTCTGGGTCAATGTTGATGATTCTCGAGGCGTCCCAGCATGCCACCCAAAGCTTTCCCTCGACGTCGTGAGTCATGCCGTCGGGATCACCGCACTCCTTGAACATGGGGTTGGTCGCGAAGTCCAAGAAAACCTGCTTGTCACCTGAGCGAGAAATAAAAAGTGGGAACGTCTCCCGTAGGACCCTTCATTCATAGCTGCTTAGATTACAGGCTAAAGAATCAAACAGATCAACAAGCGACGGTTTGGCGAAGGTTGACGGAGATGAAAGCACTGAAGCTGTCAGTTCATATACATGTATAGGATCAGTAATGTGGTAATAGGTAATGAAGAGCCAGGCGGCACCGTTCAATAATGTTCTGAACATCTGACATTGTCGACAATGAGGGGCGCAGATGTTTGTATTGCTTGTAATAAACCAGGCCTTTTTTTTCGGATTTACCTTGCACCGATGCAGATGACAGTGGTGCATTATATCTGTATATGGTATATATATATATATGCATATATTATACGTATATAACAGGGCAATAAAGAACGTTCTAACAAACAACAACCTTGTCGACTTTAAAAAAAAAATGAAAACGCGGGCTTGTGTTGATGGAATACGAATTTGATTTTACGGTTTTTGACTCACACTCAGTCCCATTAGTTTTCGTGTGAGTTTCCGGAACGTGCTGATACGAGGACGTGACTTTCGAAATATTTTCTTACACGAGCGCTAGGAAACTATAAAACGCATTTCGTGGAGCTCAGTTCTTTTACCTGTACCTTCAGTAATGCTGCATAAGACGTGTACACACTAACCTATCATTTACAAGGCAACATGTATTTTAGTTCCCTCTGCGGGCACAAAGCAAAACGCAGTAACTTCCTTTTTTATGAGCAAAGCTTCTACACGTGTTCAGTGCTAGTCAGCGCCCCGCTTCGGCGTGACATTTCAAAAATGGGTTGACTTGTATAATGAGAAACAGAATTTCTCACTGAGCGTTCCGTCTTCCGCTGAAAAGCGAAACGAGTAAATCTTCCGCTTGAGAGAGTCGTTGAAGAACATCGTCTCGTTGTCCAGAGACCACGTCATCCCGTTCGAAATGCCCAGCTGCTGCACGTGGGTCCTCGTCTCGAAGTTGCTCGCTTCGAAGCTGTACAGGGACCCACTTTCCTGTACGAGGTCGTCGTCACTGTACCTGCCCATTGTCCCTGGATGCGAGAACGAAAAATATACCCTCGTTATTCATTCTAATTATAATATTTTAGTTTTCGCGTCGAATACTGCGCACGTTGTTGTTTTTCCTTAGTCAGTTCGAATTGATTACGAACATGAGGAACATCTTGGGCGATTTATCGTACGACTTCTTTTGCTGATTCGCGTGGGGCCATCGCTGGTTCCTAATGCTAGCGAGTTTTCCTCGGTCCGCTGCATAACTTGTATCAGTACACTATAGTCTCAGACTATTCGTATGAAAAGAAACACCGAGCTTTTAATACAACTTTCTAAATACACACACCCCAAGTCTTCCGGCAGCAGCGCCCAGGGTTAGTACATATAGTAGAGTGCAAAAAGCGTACGAACGTATCAAACAGTCAAAGAAAACACACAAACAGAAACGTGCTGGAAGCCTCATACTACGCCGGGCTGTTTTGCGCTCTGACTCTAGTCTAAAACAAATTTTCTCAAAGAATAGATCCTTTTCAAAAGTCCATCGAGCAACATTGGCGGTCGCCATCTTGGACACTAAGCACGTGATTGGATCCGAGTGCTAACCGAACGCCTACGTTACACTCGTGTCCAATTCGAGCTAAGTCGAGTTCACGCCCCCCGCTGAGCCAACCCTCGTGTGCAATACGTGCTCAGAGTATGTGCTCAAGCAACGGTGGAGAGGTGTTGGCGGCGGACTTTTGAAAAGGGTCTTCTCGCGAAAGAATCACACAAGTCCTGAGACTTACCTGGCTCTCTTCTAAAGTATATTTTATCAAATATGTAGCGAGAAATTGCTCTAAAATGCGCCGTTTGCTCAGCGAAACGCAAAGAGGGGCACGTCAATCGAAGGGCAACATAGAGAACGCGATAGAAGGCGCGATGATAAGGCAGCTACGCTTCCGCCGGCTCTGGTTGAGGTCCCGGGACAAAGAAACGCACGTGGGCGCAATATAGGCATATAGCCTCCTCTATATCCTCACAAAAACTGGCGGTTCGACGACGGAGCCATATAGTATGCCCGGTCGCAGATTTGGAGCGCGAGGATCTGGTAGCACAGAGCGTTTCTCGGGGAACCTGGATGGAAGGGCAAAGCTTTTGCAGCGGCAAGGACCCGAAACATTGTTTTCAAACCCGAGGAGAAAAGAAGCGGTAGCGCGAGGAACACGAGGAGCATGAGCGGACATTCCATCGCTGGGGAGAAGTGGCTTTCGGCGTCTCGCCGCAGCGGGGCGACCGTCACGTGGCTCTCCTCTCATCCGCTGTCTGCCGCTTTACCTTTTCAATTTCGGCGGCAGCTTCTCGTGGTGATCTGCCAGGCTTTGTCAGTATAGGGTGTATTCACTGGCGGCCATATCTGTGTGCGTGGTTGCTGAGCGCGTGCTGACGGCGAGCTTCCACAGTTCATTTGCAACGTGCATTACACACCATCAAGATTGCCGGTTTTAGCAGGCTATTATTGTAAGCTCGTTCTGAGCATGCGCCCTAAACATCGCCCTCAAATATGGCGTCCAGTGAATGCCCCCTATAGAGGAGAATATGATAGGGGTAAACAAAGGGACGAGGTGCGCAAGGAGCGCGCGAACTTGCACGTCATAGTTTGCGAAAAGCCGGATGCAATTTTGAAGTTTACAAGAGGTTTCATTTAGGCAGTAGGAATCCATCAGATTGAATATATCCGGCATCATCCGACCGGCCCTCTCGGAGACCAAGTGCCCTTCTCTGGAGCCGGATGATGAACAACCCACCTGCCCACAGGCGACCCGAGACGTCGCACTTGCCGTCGTTGAAGATGTTGTTCGGTCTGTCCGGCTCTACCTCGGCCAGCAGCTCCGTTGCGCCGGTCGACCATTCCAGTTTCCGGACCTGGCGGTTCACCGTGACCACGCTCAGGTTTGGGTCGGATCGGTACGGAATGACGAATGTCACGATGCCGTCTGCAGAGATTCTTTTCGTTAGTCTTCATATGGCAGAATATAAGGAAAGTTTCGTTTTCCTGAAAACATTTTTAAGAACTTTTTTTATATATTTACAAGGCCGCTATAGCCAGACTAGTTAACAAACGCCGGGTGTGGCGAACTCAACCATCTTATCATCGTTTAGCAGCCACCGATATTGCGGCCTTTTCCACTAACATATAGGAACGAATCACGAAGCAAGAAGCAAGAAGCGAATGGACCTTTTTCCAGTAAGGAGCGCCTCATGACGGTTTCGCCGCCAACTACAAATGGAGGGCAACCGGACTCGCCTTCTTCCACGGAAACAGATTAGTGTCGCAAGAAAACAGTGCCCCCCAAGAATGGCGAAAGGGCGGTCAAGGTCAAGGGAAAAGGGTGTGCGCGTGCGCAGACGCTTACTGGAAAAAGCTGGGTTGGTTAAGCTTTCACTGACACCACTTATGCTCCGTCTGAATATAACTTGGCAAACGGCAAAAACTACGGGCTCCGTGAGCCAATCAGCGCATCGGAGCGAAGCACGTGCCCCAACCCACCGTCAGACTGCACTCCTCTCAAGGAGAGCTGTGACATGTTTCACCCGTCCCTCTGATTGGCTCAGGGAGAGAGCGAGGACGTACACTCTTACAAATCTTGAGCATCTGTTCTCCCAAAGATCACTTAGGGGCGCCAACCGCTGCAATGACGAGGCTAAAAGCATGCTTAGACCTCAAAAAAAAAGTCTGGCCTGTGGCACTGAGGATAACGTTTCACCGTGCTCTGTTCTAGAGCGCAGATTATTTGTCAGACCTCAACATATTATCAGTCTTTTCATTCGCCGAGCTCACTCCTTCGATTGCACGCGATTGGCTGTACCAAGTGATGTGCGGGAAAGCAGACGCCTCAGATTTCTTAGGTTGATAGCGTTCTCCATTTTGCTAAATTACGGTAAAACGGAGTGATATTCTTGTACAAATGACGTTACAAGGATTTTAAAAAATCAGTACAGGCGTTGTGCCGCATTGCGGGTGATTTAGCAACATCTAGAAATCTCCAAAAACTTCGCCAGGCGGTTTTGGAATGCAACGAACGACGACACTGTTTGGCTGCGCAAAGAGAGTGGCGGAGATTGTGGTGGCATGCGAGGAATGGCGAGGCACGTTCCATACAAAGCCGCCACAAAAGGCTGCGCTTGTTCTTTCGTTAAACGTGTTTCTCAAAACAGCGTCTTCTTTTGTTTTCTTTTTTTTTTTTGTCGATGTTTTTTTTTTTTCTTTTGTTGATTGTTTACAAAGGGAAAAAAGACAACAAGTTACCCAGGCGAACAGTGGACGTCTCCTGCGATGCCACGTCCAGCCGGCACACGTCGTGCACGTAGGCGTCGATGTGCAGCAAGGTGCCCGAACTGGGGTCCCAGTGCGGGCCTTCGCCCAGCTCTGACCGCCGCTTGGAACACACGGACACCGACATATCCCGAGGAGGACTCCAATATTCCTACGGCGCCCGTCTGTTCCCCGAGGAAACGACAGCTGTTGCGGGTTTCGCGACAGCCGATAAGCTCAGAACTGTCCGATAAGTGTCGTTCTCTCGGCTGCAAAACTGATTCGGTGCGTGCTTGATACTGAAGCGCAACTGTCTGGTGATATCATTATCTATGATACATGGAGCGCCGCCATTATATCGCTCTTCCAGCGACTTCAAGATTTATATGAGCTCCAAGGGGCTCAATTAATGTTTGGATATTTCAAGAACGCCAAGCAATGGCGGGCAATGTGAACCGCTTCAGACCTTTGGCGTCCGCTTTAAAAGGCCCGTCACGCCCTCGCGTTTCCTTACAATCGAGTTTTTGTGACATTTTACGAAGAGGGACCAGAATGGCTCTGTGGCGCCATCTATAATGTTACCCTGGAACTGCATTTCACTAGAGCAAAGGTTTTAAAATATTTGCGAGATGAAATGTGAATAGTATCTAAAAAATGGTATTTTATTACATTATCAAAAGTTTTACAAGCCCAAAAGAAAAGAATGATGCGCGAAAAAAACGTAGTAAATATACGTAACTGTCGAGTTTGCCCCGGCTGCCCAATAGATGGCGCCAGTGTGGTCTCCCGTAAAATATTTTCAAAGGTCTTAAAGACCAACGACCAGTTCGCGCTTTCCACTTTTCCCTCGCTTCCTCCTCTCCCCCTTCTACCCTGTCCACCGTTGCCTGTTTCACTCTCCCCCATGGTGAGGAGGGTCTTCTGCCTTGCAGAATCTCAAATCTGGTCGTCGGCCTTTAAGGTACACGGTCGTAAGCACGTCGCAAGTGCGCGAACCAGCCTTTAGTAAAGCGATGCGCCTAATGCATCTAAAATTTTTCTTCTTTTTTTTTTGCTTGAAGAAGCCTCGCTGTTTGTGTTGTTGTGTAGATGCTGCGCGTCTTAATTACTTGCGGAACCTACGAGACAAGCGGAACCTACGAGACAAGCCCGCCCTTGCTCGTTTCGCTCTGGATGAACATCGTACCGGCGTGCGGTCGTGTATCACTACCGCGTGGTACACGTTAAAGACCCCAGGATAGCGGTTGTACTGCACTGGCTAAATTGCTCATCTACAGCTGAGACACCCTACGCCCATTGCAGCTGACTAACTTCCGGTTGTATAAACATACACACCACGCGATTATTATTTATTACTAGACAAGCGTCAGCTTTCAAAAAGATATATGCGCGCCAGTTTGCTCGCTTTCCAACGCTGCGGTCTGGAACAGATGTTTCCACCGAGCCTCTATTAATACTTCACACAACACAGTACTCGAAGCACAGCATGAGAGGGCAGAATAGGTGCTCATTTTGATGTATTTTTAAAAGTTAAATAGAATCCCTCGTTGTGCAAGGTCAATGCCCCTATTTAAAGGGAATCAGACTTTTTTTTGTGTGTATGTGCCTTTGCTTTCGGCACAACACGACAAAAAAACACTGCATGGCACTTAGTCGTACATCACTACGTATCACCTGCAATTGTTTGGGCCTAAAAAAAGTTTTAACAACTACAGCAGCGAAAAATACCACTTTAAAAAGAATGTAAAAGGAAAACAGGCACGACAAAAACAAAAAAAAAACATATACCGTCTAAAATATTTATTGCCTGCAATACACCAGTAACCAAATAATTTGTGATCAAGGCATCTTGGATTCACGGGGCTACAAATCGTCCTGTGCACCTTTCTCGTAAAAAAATATATATATATATCAGCTTCTGGCTTGAACAAAATATCGCGAAACGCGCGAACCTGAATAGCATCCAAAAAGCCTAGCCTTCTTAAACCTGCGGGAACGGGATCAACAAACATGATTGACCTCGTAGAAATGCATAGGGCGCAATCATAATAATTATTTAATTTATGATCACTCGAATGTGAGACGGACTACTCTAACCTGATTAAAATATTTCGGTGAACATGCACCCATACTCTAACGTCTTGCTTTTCGATTAGACTACAGTTGCATAAAACAAAACATCTATGTATAGCAGCAAAAAAAAGTAAAAAGCGAATTGGATAGTGGTGCGCGTATTTGTCCCCTTTTTCTTTCTTGTTTTTTTTTTTTTTTTTTTTTTTGTTTTGTTTTGTTTTAACGTATTTTGACGTGCCGTCAGACATCTCGCTTACCTAGTCACCGACAGCATAAAAAAACCAGAACATGGCTTATTAAGTTCACGCCACTACCTCGTCATTCGTTCTTTGTCATTCTCGTGTGTTACTTCTGCAAACTCATTGGCTGCCAAGCGATAATAGGACTTTCGGGGTCTGCCCCGCCCTCAGTTTCTCAACCTGTCAGTGATAATAATACCAATTGAAACCACTAAATCAGCTTGAGAATAACAACGTGGGAGGCGTCTGTCCTTATCAGTTGCAATAGCCAAGACATATACAGTGCGCTGCAATATGAAAGACCCACTGGGAGCGCGTGGCCGAGACGGTGGCTGGCGGGGACGCTGCGAGCGCTCCGGGCAATTCCATTCTGCTTCGAGGGGAGGACGCTCACTCGAGGCTCAGCTAAAGGTCAACGCGCTTATCAGTTTGTGCTGAGCCCCGAGTGAGCGTTCTTCCCTCGAACCAGAATGAAATTGCACGGAGCGCTCGCAGCGCCCCCGCCAGCCACCGCCTCGGCAACGCACTCCCAGTGGGTCTTTCATATTGCAGCGCACTGTACATCGCGTGAGAAAATTTTGTAGCATAAATATATAGGATGCACGTTACAAAGGTCGATCCGTTTGCAGGTAGAAGATGCTATGGTATGATTTGTATTTCCGCTTTTTTACAAACGCCGTAGAAATCAAGAGATGATCTTAACACGCAGGTTAAGCAGACGTTACTTGGAGTTACGTTCTTGGACCTACCACGGTGAAGCGACGGTCACATGCACGCCGTGTATACATGTGGTCGACGTGCATGTCATCAAACTTATAACGGGAAATCGTTCACAAACTGACAACTGACAACTGACTTCCGCTTCTGTTTTCCTTCTTTTCCAGGAACGTGTACGCGGCTGTCGAGTGCGCACATGTATTCTGGGCTTCACTTCCAGGAAACAAACAAACAAACTGGAATGAACAATACCTTGATGCTCGGTGCACCTGTGCTAAGCTGAAATTGGTCACAGTCGAAGTCGAACCATTCTCGCGACTGTTAAATTTCCATTTTCCTCCCATTACTATTCTTGAATGTGGCGCCTTCATAAAACTCGTCTTCAACTGATTATTTAGCGTCCTATGTCGTCTACGCTTCGAAGTTCCTCGAGCTGGTAACTAAATACGTCGCCACAGTTGCCAGATACTCCTGGTGGTTGGTTGTAGAAGTGCCGAAGAAAGCAAGGGGGCTACGGGCGTCGCGAAGTCTATTGGTTGCGGCGTTCCCATCTACTGGCTAAGCGCCCGAGAATCTACTGCGGATCAGGCTTCTGTCCTATACACTCCCGTTGCTGCGCCATTGTCAGGGTAGCAGCAATCTCCTGCATTACTCACTTTAGACGCCACCAGCATGAGATCGAGAAACGTAACTAAATACATGGTGAACAAACCAGTCGGACACGCACATTCCAAGCATCATGATGTGCACGTCAAGTCCCGTTCCCCTTTTCATGCACTGCGTCAGACTTCCTCATCCTACTCGTTCACATTCTCATATCCCACTTGGTGCGCACCACCACCACGAGGCAGACGACAACGAGAAAGGTCAGCACCACGCCAGTAAGAACGTTCTCATGGTAGCTGGTAAGCCGATCGGTGGCTGGCTCGGGGGACGGGGCATTGCACTCCCAATCGGTGGAGGTGGACATGCATAGCCTGTGAGCCCCCGCCCTAGAACACAAGACACTGCATAGCTGGACTTGACGGCAGAAAGAGTCGCAAGGATACTCATCCTTAAAGGCCGTGGCCAGCCCGATGTACGCATCCAGGAGTTCGGAAGATCTGTTCAGCCGCTGGGATAGGTTCACCATAGAGGCGGTACTCGCGTCGGGCAGACCGTACTGCGTCGTCAGCGTGTAAAGTGTCTCCCACTTTGGAGTCTCATTGGGGTGGTTATTGGCTTTGTCGAAGTCAAGGTAGTACACGGTGTAGTCGAGCAGCCTGGTCGAGGTACGGTTGTACTTGTAGAGCCGCACCATCGGGTTCGTGGTAATTGACAACCTGCGGTTAAACTTGTCTGATGTGGTCCATGGAGTGACCGACGCGGCCACCTGGGCGCTGCCCACAGGTCGCCCGTTGGCGTTAGACAGGATCACAAAAGCGTTACCGTGTTGGTGGCCGAAAAACTGCCCAGAAATCACGTCCGTGAAGTCCGCTATCAAATCCTGGTAGGCTTCGTTGATCCCGTCTTGGAACAGACCCGAAACACCAACCTCCGGTGACACCGCGCGGCTGTAGAAGCCCGGCGCCACGTGGCCCGAGATGAAGACCTTCTGTCCCAACTGCTGGGCCTCTCGAAGTTGCTTGTGCAGCCACACCAGCTGGTCCTTCGCGCTTCTCTCGAGAGCCGGTGCTCGGTTTCCAGTGTACCATAGAATGCTATTGAGGCAAACCAGTCGTAGAGATCCGCTTACTGTCCAATTGTAGTACCCAGCCTTCTCGAAGGTGCTCCAGGAGGACGAGGGCAGAAGCTCATTGAAGCCAGCATCAAAGAGGAACATGGACATGTTGTTGGGACGCATATAATTAGGCGGCGAACAATCGTGATTGCCGAGCGTGGGCACTACGGGACACCCAGGGAACGCTTCGCTCAGCCGCTGAGCGAGCCACCGGATCTCCGCATACACCTCTGACCAGAGGACGTCTTTCACGTGCGGCAGGTTGTCCCCGGTCCATAGCACGAAGTCCGGGTTCGGCTCGATGCTCCGCATGGCGGCCACGGCCGATTCCACGAGCAGCCTGGGCGCGTCGCACTTAGCGTCGCCGTAGGGGCCTATGTCACCGGAGCCAGGCCGGTTGGGGACCAGATGGCACATGGAGTTCCGATCACCGTGGATATTGTATTCCTTGTCATAATGGAAGTCTGTCACGTGCCAGAAATATCCAGTTTCATCTTCAGAGCCGACGATTGACGTCATGACCAGCAGCGTCGCTCCTGCCAAGACGGAAAAGCTTCTGACAGGTATTGTCGTCATTTGGGCCGGTACACCTTCGATTGCCTAAACGCATCGAAACCTTTACAGCGCCTAGTTATGAAGCGCTAGATTTTTGCCTGCATCTGGTTCGAAAGCACGTAACGTCAACACCGAGAAGCCCCATGCATGTACTGCGCCAGAACGCTTAATGCTGCTGATGGCGTTGCGCGTTGCCACCTGGCGAACACGGTCCAATGAAAGTCGACGAAAACGGCTGTGCGGCATCAAGTGCTCGAAACAGTTTGACGTCGCCAACTACACAGGCCAGCACCTGCGGCGGCGTTTCATTTGCCTCTGTACGCGCACGGAAGCGGTGAATTGCGCCTAAAAACGGAGGGAGAGGACGAGAGAAGGGCGCGCAGGGACTCAGAACGCCGAGCTCTGGCTCCAATGATTAGTGGGTAGACCTAAAGCTAACTCCACGTTCTAACGTGTTCGACGAGTGCAGTGGAGACAAAGGCGGCTAACTTCCGGTCTACCTCCTAACCATTCCAACCAGAGATCGGCGTTCTGACGTCTCAGCGCGTTCTTCTCTTCTTGTCTCTCTCTCTCTCTCAGTTTCTCGGCGCATAGACCATAGACCGATCTCATTATGCAACAGCTGCCGCCATGCATCGGGGAATCTGTATTTTTTCCGCACGCGCGACAACCCCACTGAGGGTCTGCGCGAGAAGAGCACGAGGCGGCACGAATAGTCTCGTGCACTGGCGCCTTCCTCTTATCAGAGCCCCTAAATGAGCTGCTCTCGCAGTGTCGGGACTCCGCACCCTGATCTGCTAATGGCCATCGCCATCTTCGTGCTTATAGTAGAGCAGACGATTGCCATAATTCGAAAGTGCGACATCCTCCGGTTTAGAAATGGTGTTAGGATGTGCAGATGGGAAGAGCGCCTTTAGAGCGCGCGACACGAGGGCGCTGCGACAGTAGCGCGCTTGACACTAGAGCGCGCGATGCACCCGCGGCTCCACAGACAGAACAAAATTGTGCGACTCATCGGATCGGAGCTTTGGTAATTTTTGATTGATTTAATATGCCTTTAATGAAAAAAAATAAAAACAAAACGGGTACGACTCTTTCTAAACAATTGTTCACTGACATCGGAGACAAAAGGGGGCAAGGGAGTGGAGTGGGGCATATAGGTAGCGGGAATGTCTGCAGTTGGGTGGACCAGCGAGTCTAAGATTTCTTTACAATGCTGCGGTGCGCCTCTCGGATATACTATAAATAGTTTACTTTTGGCTATATTTGGTATGTTCTTGACAGACATTTTGGGCTCCGATCTATTTAGTGGCTATTCATACGTCTCTCAAATAATTTTCTAGAGTATTGTGTCGTCCATGATCGTAATGAAGGAAGCTCACCGCTAAAAAAGTGATCAGTAAAAAGCTCAGCGCAATTTTATCGATGCAGAGCTTTCCAGCCTTTTGACGGATACAGGAAAACCTCCCCTGCAAATCGGTAAAATAAATTTGAGTTTTTTTTTTTTTCTTTTTTTTTTTAAACTTAATTTGTTGATTCATCGAGTACGGTGATGGCGTCCCCTTCTGATGTTGATAGAACACAACCCAAAGGCAATGCCCTTTCTGCAGAACTAAAAAAAAAGCCTAAAAAAAAGGCTTGGCTAATGTATTCTTCGTTCTTTGCATTCTACAGAACCGTAGCTTTTCCACCTTTCTTCTTAGAAAGCTGTCCAATCTTCTAGGGCCGAACGAGAGTGCTTTGATTCAGAAATATACGACTACCAAAAGGCTGCTCAATACAAAACTGTTAACCCACTTGGCCCCACCGTACACGCCGCCTCACGGCGTCCAGCCGGCAACCCAAGCTAACCCAAGCGTCCGGAAAGGGAGTCCCATATTATTTAGTTCAGCAAAGTTTCGTCGACAATATTCGTCTTTTTTTTAGTGTTTATCATAAAAAGGAATAGTAAATACCGCTATATGTTTAACAAAAAAAAAAAGTCTAAAAAAAAGAAATGCTTCAGGAAAAAAAAAACACTCTCCCTGGCTTGAATTTGGGTCCGCGGCGTATGAAACACGCACCTTTCCTAAGTTACGCTACTTATTTTTTATTTTTTTTTTTTTTTCATTGTAAAGTGAAACTCGTTGTAACCATTTCCGGTTGAGGTGCACGGGCTCGTGCATATAGCTTAACTCATGTTTTAAAGTATCCACGGTTATTTTTGTAAAATGTACTTGTAACGAGAACGCATAGGTTCGGTTTGCTTTAACTCGCGTGGGGCCAATTACAAAACTATGCATTCCTGCGAAAACGGGACATGATTATTTATTCAGACAAAAAGACGGGACGGCAGAAGCGGACCTCAAAAACGGGACTGTCCAGGCCAAAACGGGACGTCTGGTCACCCGCCTTAGTTAGGCGGAGACTTGTACGTACAAGTTCGATGTAATTACAAGTTCGATGTAATTTACTTACTATTTTCTTCGGTAATCAATTATATGTTTCCGAAAAACGTAAAACTACTGAGTTGAGCTTTTTTTTACGTAAAAATCACCTTCTGTCGGTGCGTCACTCGTCTATGTTGCACCAACCTTGGACACCTTTTCTTATTCATAAGCAACTAAAAAAAGATACCAAGATACAGGAAGGATGAAAATGTCAACGTGCTCTGCGATGTTTTTTCTGTCGGCCTGTCGAGAGTGCCTCGTTTCCTGTGTACGGGCCAATTGTTACGATCCGGGTTTGCCGCGACAGAGACGACTGCGTTCTGCACTGACCTCATCTAATAACCACTTTGAACATATGTGTAAAATGTAACATATGTATATGGGGATACGGTCCATTCGTCACATGCACACTCGTCACAGGACGATTGGTCACAGGACGATTCGTCACACAGGAACATTCGTCATATGACGACTCGTCACATGGCCAACCGGTCCCACAATAGTTAGTCCCCCCAAAAATGTATTGTTTAATTTGGTTCGGGCGGACAAAGTGGCTCACCTCATATCTTAATATGTGTTTGGCTTCTCAAAGGCGAAGAATTTGTAACAAACGTTCTAGCTTCTGGTTCGGTCCCGAACATCGAATGTTGGTTCGTCCTGACAATGTCGGTCACCTCTTATCTTAGCATGTCTTTCGCTTCTCAAGGTCTAAGAATTTGTAACAGACGTTTTAGCTTCTGGGTCCGTCCCGAAAGGTGAATGGGAAGGCCATATGAAAGCGACTATTTTTGAACTCTGACTACATTCAAAAGGATGGAGATGATCGCAACAGAGAGAGGTGGAGCCATGCAGCTTCACGCGGGGTACTCGTTCACATGCAGCAGAAAGAATTCCGACACTTATTGGTTTTCTCGAAAAGGTGTATGCAAGGCAAAGTAAAAACTGATTTAACTGCCAGTCGGATTATTGCTCGTTCAAGCCAGCAACTTAAATCAACCTTCTGAAGAGTCGTAATATGATGAAAGGAAACGCGGATGAGTATTGTACGGTTAGTTTTTCTAACCATTGGTTTATGTCACAGTGGGTAATCGTGAAACTCCTCATCAGGGAATGTGGGCAGTTGTTGAAATTTACACTTTACTATCGTCCCCTGCCCGATCGATGTGACCAGTTGCCCGCATGACGAGTCATCCTGTGACGAATGTTCTTATGTGACGAATCGTCCTGTGACGAATCGTCTGTGACGAGTGCGCATGTGACGAATCGTCCTCATCCCATGTATATGCACTGTCAGCCTGTCGAGAGTGCCTCGTTTCCTGTGTACGGGCCAATTGTTACGAACCGGGTTTGCCGCGACAGAGACGACTGCGTTCTGCACTGACCTCATCTAGTAACCACTTTGAACATACGTGTAAAATGTAACATATGTATATGTGTAAAATATATCATAATAGTAACCATTTGAAGATATATGTATGCCTTTTGGTTTGGTAATGAAAATTAAAAAAGTAACGTGAAAAGTAATAATTCACTTTCTCGTAATTTTTCAATTACGTTTGTGATGCAGTGATTGATTACTGTAATCAGTTACATTTTGTCAATATAGTGATTGTAATTAGTTACTTGTTTTCAGTGACGCGTACAAAACTGGTTAGGCGGACATCCTAAACCACAGTTAAGTGTAAGTCTGGTTAGCAGTTACTGTACCGCCCTAAAGATGGCGGGGCAGTACTAGTCCCAAGATGATGGAAGAAACGGGGATAGATTCTCTGGGATTGCAGTGAACAAGAAATGATTGAGCGGGGCGAGCTACAGGCTCCGCTCAGGCTTTCAGTTGAAGCTCAGAATATGGAAAGTTGGCGTGGTGGCGCTGCGATCGAAGGGGCTTAGTTCGCCTGGATTTTCGTCGTGGCGTCGTGTCGAGGACGAAGGCCGTTCCGACATCAAGTCGCCGTTGTGACATCGAGTCGCGTTGAGGACGACGCCGTTACGCGAGCCGTTGTAGCGGGGTCGTGACGTCGCGCCGCGCCGACGACGACGTCGACGTGGTCGTCGACGCCAACGTTGATGTCGACACCCCACGCAACGTCAAAAGTCGCTATGACGTCACGTTAATGCCGTCCTTACGACGGGTGACTTCGTCGTCACGTTAACGTCGTCCTTAGGTCGTCTGATGTCGTCGTCACGTACGCGTCGTCCTGACGTGGTGTGACGTCGTCGCCAGGTTAACGTCGTTCTGACGTCGCGTGACGTCGTCGTCAACGTTAACGTTCACGTGACGTAAACTTCAACGTGAACACGGGGTCACAACGACGTTACGACGAAGCCTTGACGTAGTGTAACGTCGTCGCCTTCGCCAACATTGACGTCGAAGCTCGGTCATGACGAAGTACTGATGTCGTTGTCATCGACGATGACGTCGACGCCGTGAAGTTGTCGGGACGTTGTCGTGACGTAGCGTTTCCGGTTTCGAGACCCACCTAGTGTTGCTTCGGGGGACCAAATTACGACGTGTTGTACGTCACTTCCGCCTGGAAGGGACTCAGCGCCACAGATCAGCAATGCCAACCCCTGGCAGGAGCCGTATTTCAA